TGAAGGAGAGTTACACTGAGATTTTTTTCAGTGACTGAAGCAGCAACAGACATGACCTTTTGAGTTAAAGAAATCCCGTCCTGCCAACACCATTGTTACTGACCTAATTTCACCCTTTATTTCAATAGAATTTTGTCCATAGGTTCTCTATTTGAATTTGGTATCATAATCTTGTGCAAATATGAAAATGTGTAACTGTGTAAAGGAGAGAGTACATTCAAAAGCACTAGATTTCTGCTGATTTTTGCTCATATCAGAAGCGAGTAGCAGTTTTGTTCATAGAAAGAAAACTAGTAACAATAATGACAAAAACACAGTCACATTTCACCCTAACTTTTCTAACAAAAAGAAACTGTTTCATTAAAAATCATCATAAAAAACCCAAATATTTTATGCTCTGTTGGCTCCGCAGTTGTACCTATAAATAACAATTGCAAGCAAATGACCTAGGAATTAATGAGTTGCATCCTGAGGTTAGGAGAGGTGGAAGCTGAGCCATCAGGATAACCTGGGGGTGTGGAAGGCATGTCCCCCTCCCTCCCTCCCTACACAGTCCTGCACCTGGAGCCAAAACATTGCAGGGTGGGTTTGATTGCTTATTCCCATCTTTTCAGATGGAGTCTGCATTTTTAGAGTCACCTTAGCATCATATCAGTATAAAAGAATGGGCAAAATGATCCCAGTCAGATGCCAACCTGTGGAAATTTTGATAGGGAAATTGATAAAGAAATATCCTCCTCAGGCAGAGGGAGAAAAAGTATGCTTCATCTAGTGGCCTTCCTTGCCAAAAGGATTGCTGTGGAAAGCTATATTTGCAATGCATGGTATCTCACTGGATGTCAGTGCTGAAAAATGGTTCGTTAAAGATAGCCTTGAATTTATATGTATGCATAGGAGCCTAAATTAAAATGGCCTACGGCAAGAATTGGTCTTCTTCATGGCAGAAAGGATGTCTTCTCACCTTGGAAACCAGCTGATGAAATGCAGGATACAGAGCCTAATATTGGACATCTAAGTTAAAAAATGTCACTGAAAAAATCCTCCCCTGCTGCTTGCTGAAACCTAGGAAATTGTGAAGGCAGCCGCAAAATTATCCCAAGTGGTTTCAGAAGCTCCTCTCTAACACAGTAGGAAATAATCTGTAATTTCTGTCCCAGGCACAAGTGCTAATGAGGGAAGTTCAAAATGCAGGCTTCCTAGACAGGGCTTCACAATGGCTTCCACCATCAAAAGCATCTGCACACAGCTCCAAATGTCCAAACTGGGCATTTTCCACCCAGCTGAATGGCAGGATACTGGCCAGTTCAGAAGATGACACATCAGTATTCACCACTCTTCCAAACCCAGAGAGCATCCATCTGCCCATCCATCCCCTTGACAGAAGAGGGCCACAAGTAACTCCCTGCTATAGCTGCACCACACAGACAGCTCCAGACTGGAACCAGCGGCAGACAGGATTAAGGTCCTGATTTACACCATCTAACACACTCCTTACCCACTTGTAAAACTAAATCTCGTATTTCAACAATTTAGACCTGCAGAGGTACCACTGCATCACTCCATTTCACATGGTGGTCTGCATCGGGGTATTTCCTATTGCCACTTTCCTGAGTTTTAATTTCTTTTAATGCGGTGGTTCCAAATTAATCTATTGTATTGTATTCTGACACATCAAGTCATCAAAGGAGAAGAGCAGGGGAAGTCTGTAGTGAAGGCATTGCTCCAGCTTTTGCAGATACGCTGGAGAATTACTGAAGCCAGTCAAAGGCAAGCTTGAATCAGATATATTTTTCCATGGTCTTTTTATTTTAATTTCTCCATCCAAACTTAACCTTTTGCTCAGATCTAAATTCCTCACTTCCATCACTCAGCATCTCAGGGTAAAATCTCCAGAGAAAAGGATTTTTAAAAATAAATGAATAAAATAATAAATATTAAGCCCTATAAGGAATCCTACTATAAGCAAAGGTGCCCTGAATTAGAAGGGTCTAAAACAAAGAGAAAAGCAACTGAAGAAAGAAAGGGAAAGAGATAAAAGGAAAATTTCTGATCCAGGATTTGGAGTGTTGCATTTAGGAATCTGAAAATTAGAACATAGACAATTTGGAAGCTTTTTTTTAAACTGAAATGTGAGCACTGAAGCTATTTCAACCAGCACTCTTTAAAACTGGAATTTTAAAATTATCCTGCCATGTATATCACTATTCCAGTTGCCTCTGTATACATTTTGCTAATATCTCATTTTAATGTATTGTATTTTAAATAGCCATTAGTAGGGTACCTTTAGAGCTTCAGCTCACCTAAATGCTTTAATCAGCCCTGAAAAACTTGCTGTCAAGGCAGAACAAAAAAGCAAAGGGAATGCAATGTATTCACCCCACACACTACATGCTGAATGTACATTGTTAGTACTTGCATGCCTCACCCATAAGGAAATATATGCTTTCCTGGTAAATTATTAGAAATGCATTTAGTTCAACAAAGAAGAACATAATAAGGGAGAACTGAATTAAAGAATGGTTAATCCCCTGTGATATATTTATGGCTGGAACTTGACTGCATCTTACGTGTGTTTTGAATTCACTTTTAGGCCATATTAGATATGCATTCGTCACTGTTGTATTTATTTTCTCCCATTTTTTCTTTCCTCTTGTAGGAGAACAGAAATCAGTTACACTAGAAACAGCCAGATTTTCTGTCATGTACCCTACTCCTTCAGCTTTATTTGGGCAGATATAATTAAAAGTGACACAGCCCTCCCTATATCACACAAAGCTAAATTTCCCCTATCTAAGAGGACCCCGTTAACACGGTTATTTTTCACTTGTGGTATGTTTTTTTGTTGAATTTTGTTAAACCCAGTACAAGTGAAATCCATGGCGCACTCCCGCGTGGTGCAGCACATGATGCCTGTGCAGTCAGCACTGTGAGAGGTGACAAACACCTGCAGCTTTAATAGCAGGCCTGTTTCTCCAAACCAAGGCAGCAGCTCGTCCTCGCTGTGACTCAGAAGCAGCACAGAGAGCAGAGAACAAAGAGGATCCAAAGGTACCAATGGCTTCTGGAGACCCTGTTCTGCCCTCCAGGAAACCAGCTGCCACCAGTACGAAACGTGGGCTGGTGAGGGATGGTACACCTCGCTGGCTAGTTTGGCTCTTGTTATTACAGGTCCTGAACTCAGGAACACTTAAGTCTTCTTCCCTGGTTTCATCTCTCCTACCAGATCAAGAAACTTTTCCCCATGGGCTGTTCCCTGGAGAGAACAGAATTCCTTTTCCTTGAGGAGACCAGACATTCCTTCTTATGTTTTTCATGCTGTTGCCCCTATTGCCAGAACAGCACAAGGAGATGTACCCAAGAAGGTATCTCAAAAAGACACAGGAGATCTGTCTGCACCTCTCTCCCCTATGATGCGATGGCCCTTCCTGCAAGCTGGAGACAGTGCCATGCGGATGCTTCCCTAAAGCACAAACATCTGACTGATGGGGATCATCCTTCTGAGGACTTTTTTTTTTCCCTAGGAATTGTTTCATGCTTGTATCTTGCGGTTATACACGCATTTATTTTTTATGGTTCTATGGTTTTTGGATTGATAAGGGCTTTCCAAGACAGACTTAGAATATTTTATGAGCACATACTGTGACAGCCACAGCACACGCAATAACACATGCAGAATACAAGACTATTCCGACTTCACAGCTTGTGATTACATGTTGGCACCTAATGATTGACTGAGGTGTCCTAAGCCCCCGGAAAAATCAAAAGCACCAAAACAGCTCGTGGGTCTGCAGCCAGAATGAGCTGAGGTATAACAACAGTAAATTGTGCTGGAGATGAAACACAAAACCCATACAGATAACAACATGATCCAGGGTTCAATGCTTGGTGATAGTGAAAATTTAAACTGCTTCTGTTACTACACAATTTAAATTGGCAAAAGTTTAAAGATGGAAAAATGGAAAGATTATCCCAGAGCAGACAACAAAATAGCAACAACAGCTTACATGGACTATGGCTACACTCTACCACATTTTAAGTAATAATTTATAAATACTATGAAAAATAACTGGCTTTCATATATGAGGCACTGTATGTTCTGGCTTTTGAACTGAATAAATTGAGGTTTTATTAACTGTATACTTGTGAGGTATCAGTAAAACTGTTGGGAGTAAAAAACCTACCCAGAATAGTTTTCTATTTTATATACAAATCTTTAAAAGAAAAGTAACATTATAAAGTATATTACACTTAGTTTTTTATTTATTTCAGCCAAATAAAGCTAAATAAAACTACTGGTCCTGATTTACAGAAATAAGCTTAGCTGAAAATGCTTGCTTTAAGAGGCTGGCTGTGAACAACAGACTACTTGAAACACAGGTCCAAAACAGTCTTTACCAGAAAGCCAGCACTGAAGGTACATACTGTTTTTTCCTGATCATGGCCACTCCTTAAAAGTGTTTGTTTCTTGTGTTTGTTTAGAGAGGAAAAAAAAAATAATTAAAATTCTGTGTCTGATAAAAATTGAATTGTCTCCAAGCCTAGTTTTTCAAGTGAACAGGTAAATTTTGTGCCGTGCCCTGGAGGGCTGCTCCTTCCCTTTAAGTGGCCCAGAGCACCTCCACCATCCACTCCCACTGACGCCTCTGAAGGGACTTTCAGGGATCATCCCAATGATCCAGCCAAATTCTGCATCTCAGACTAGATGGGTCAAAGAGCATTCCTACTTGGTTGCAAACTAACATTATGACAATAACGTTCTGGAACAAAAAAACCTTATGATCTTCAGGAGAGAAGGAAACTTAACTAATACTTTTATCGTGTTGTCCAGTTCTCAGTTGGGATAGTGAATTTTGAAAGCACTTTTGCTGTTATGTCTCAACTTTTAGTATATAAGTATGCATACGTATGTCTACACTTACCTGTATGTGCCTTACATTTATATTTCCCTTTTTTCCAGACAGCTTTACAGATCATAATACCACCAGAAAATAATTTCTTACCTGGGGATATTATATAGAAGAAGTCCTTAAACTCATCCATCCAGACCTCTGCCAGTCTCCTGTTGTTCTTGTTGATGACGTGCCCTGTGCCACCAGGGAAGGTGTAAGGTGTTGCCTTTCGGAAAACGTGGCCAACATGTGAGCAGGTGACAATCTCAAGGGAGCCACCGCACTGCCAAATCTGAAATGAAAAGATGCAGAAAACACTGACTAAAACAAATACAAATCACGATGCGTTTATAGCAGGAGGGCGTCTGACAGATGGGTTAGCACCTATGTCCCTATTTATCTCCCCAGGTCACAATTCAACAGGAAATGTCAAAGTTTAAGGGAAAAATCAGCGGCAAACTCTTGACAGCAAGGAAAGTGCACAGACTTTTAACTGTAATGTGAAAGCTTGTGTGAATGGTTCATCTGGTTCCATAGTCTTACAATGTAAACCTACACAAAGCGCCACCTCAGAAAGGTGTCAGAACAAATTCAGTGTAGGGTATGTATACTACCTATATTTGAATTTTCCATGATTTCATACTTCATAGAATCACAGAATACCAGCTTGGAAGTGACCTCAAGGATCCTCTGGTCCAAATCTTTCTAAGCAAAGCATGACCTAGACTAGATGGCCCAGCACCCTGTCCAGCTGAATCTTGAAAGTACCCAACACTGGGGGAGTCCACCACTTCCCTGGGGAGATTATTCCAACAGCTGCTTATTCTCAGTGTGAAAATATTTCCTCTTGTGAGGAAAGAAACAAACAAAAACTTTTACATACAAATATGTGCTTTTTTTCAAAGCAGAAACATGTCCTTGACCATAATGAGCAAAGGCAGGTCTTGGTTGCTATCACAGCAACAGAAAGCAGCAAGCACAGGTAACTCTGAACATCACAGAACCACAGAAGTGAAACAGATGCAAAACGCATCTTCTCTGGTTCACATGCCGGTAAGTACCATGATCAACTCAAAAAAAAAAAAAAAGAAAAGAAAAGAAAAAAATACACACAAAGAAGAGAACTTGGTGAATTTCTAGATGCAAACTGTCCCTGTCCACTACTGGAGCCAAAATCTATACTCTGAATAAGCTCAGTGCATTCACTATGACTGCGTAAGTATAAAAAAAGCCCCAACATATAATCTTGGACTTTAATGCCTGGTTGTTAAATGACGGAATTTATTTCTCTGTGAGATCACTAGAGTCTTGGTATGATATACCTCTGTATATCAACTGCTGTTCTGCAAGTTCCCATCTTTCCAGGCTCTGAAAAGAACTAGAGATACTAAGGATGGCTGAATGCCCAAGTTTGCAGAACTGGAGGCTGAACACAGGCAGCCAGGTGAAGAACAGGGATAAGCAAAGCGTACAGGGTGAAAGTTCTGCTGTTCTACCAGACAAGATAAATTCCTTAGGATTTACTCTTCTCTAAGGTTCACTGACATTTTGGCATAAACAATGGTATCAACAACTACCCAGCTCTGGATTCAGGCTTGTCCCACCCTCTGCTTTACTCTCCTCCTAAGAAGCCATCAGGAATAAATTTACAATACCTCTAGTAATAAGATACAGAATTTAAGAACCATTGGGTGTTTTAAACAGGAATGCCAGTACTGTCTTGTAATTAGAGCTCCTCCACACAGACATAAGTTACCATAGTAACTTAAGCAGATTTTATTTAATTAGGGCTAAATCCCTTTATATAATTTCATTAGTATGCTAAGTGATGTACTCTGCTGGGATGAGCAATGACAACATCAAAATATTCTTATGTTTAACATCTTGTGTTTTGTAGCTCAGTGACAACTAGTTAGTTCAGGTGAAACTTCAAGTTGATGGATGCCAGCAAACACGTGATGGTACCAAACAGAAGCATGCATTACAATGGAAATACACACTACTAATATGTTTACAGAGTAACATGGAGGTAACTCAGCAGATGGGGCAGTAATGAGCAGATGGCTGTTAGGTGAGCTCTAACCCACAGTTTCTGTCTGGGGACCAGCATCCCCAAAGTCACTGTTGCTCTTCCCCTACCTTGCCCTGGCAGGAAATTCCTCCCTCTCTACTATTTTATTTTTTTTAATACGTTCCAGTACATTTTTTAAGCCCTTTTTTTGGATGTCCTTGGTATAATCGCCTATTTATTACAGTTGTCATAGGAATGTGGATGAACCTGCACCTTGTTTAGAAGAAAAGGACTTTTATCTTTTCAGTAATATTTTTAAAACCCCAAACAAATCAACCTTCCTGAATATCCCCTGGTAAAACACCACTTTCCAAGACTTCTTATATTGGTCAAGGACTGTGAGACTGCAGAGATCTGTTCACCACACCGACAAGATAAACTATGGTAATACATTGAAGAGTGTATGGTAATACACTTCTTACTGCAACCACAGTGAATACCCAAATTCATGGAATCACAGAATGGTTTGGGAGGAAGTGACCTCAAAGATCACCTAGTTCCTAGTTTATGGTTGCTCAAAGCCCCATCCATCCTGGCTTTGAACACTTCCAGGGACAGTGCAGCCACAGCTTCTCTAGGCAAACTGTCCCTCATACTTTGCTAATGAAGAACTCTTTCCAGACAACACCTCCACTCAGGTATTCAGTATCTGCCAGAAGCCTTTTAGTGACACAGATAACTGTTTCATGTAATGCTCCAAGAATTTCTGAGAGAAACTGTGATTAAATTTTACTGCAGCCTTTTTCATTTTAACATTCATCATATTTTTTTTAATCCAGCAGAATTTCCAGCAATAGAATTTACTTGATCCTATAGATTGGGCAACAAGTATTTCCAACGAACTAGATCTTTCCTCCAACATGCCTAAATGTTTCAAGGCATGGCAACGATTTTATGAATTATTACTTTACTATAATCCATCTAGTTATCTTGGTTGTCTCCTCCTACAAAAAGAGCAGCAAAGGGAGCCAGTGTCTCCCACCAAACTGCTACACCAAGACTTGCTGCCCACCAACCCTGCCCCTAAAAACCTCTGCAGTCCATGAATTCCCCCAAATCATATATTCTTCCAACCACAGCACTTCAATAATGCTTCAAAAGTCTCTCCCTGCACCTTTCAACCCAGCACGTTTTGCAAGTTTATTCCCCACCTTTTGTGGAAAGCTATTTAGCAGAAAAACAAGCAAATAAATGAAAAAGCCCCAACATCCAGCTGCAACTTTACAGTGAAGAAACTCTTAACTGTCCCCAGCCTGAATTATCTTCAGCACTAGCTGTTATCCCACCCACTAACTCATTTCAATCCATCCCTTCTGACTAAAGAGATAATTTCCAGAGTGCCACTTACTGAAATGTTTCAGTGAAGAAGAGATGCAGCAGATCTGCCCCATTTCCTAGGCCTGGAAAATGAGCTCTTTATAATTTACCTTTCCACACGAGACTATCTCATTTTCTATTTATCTGCTTGCTTACAAATACTTATTCCTTCAATGTTTGTGGCAAAACATCATACACCATAGAATTAAAACTCAGGCTGGTATATGCTCATGTAATTGATCTATTTTTAAATAGAATCATAGAATCATAGAATAGTTAGGGCTGGAAAGGACCTTAAGATCATCAATTTACAACCCCCCTGCCATGGGCAGGGACACCTCACTCTAAACCATATCACCCAAGGCTCTGTCCAGCCTGGCCTTGAACACTGCCAGGGATGGAGCATTCACAACATCCCTGGACAACCTATTCCAGTGCCTCACCACCCTAACAGGAAAGAATTTCTTCCTTATATCCAATCTAAACTTCCCCTGTTTAAGTTTTAACCCATTACCCCTTGTCCTGCCACTACAGTCCCTAATGAAGAGTCCCTCCCCAGCATCCCTATAGGCCCCCTTCAGATACTGGAAGGCTGCTATGAGGTCTCCATGCAGCCTTCTCTTCTCCAGGCTGAACAGTCCCAACTTTCTCAGCCTGTCTTCATATGTGAGGTGCTCCAGTCCCCTGATCATTCTCGTGGCCCTCCTCTGGACTTGTTCCATCAGTTCCATGTCCTTTTTATGTTGAGGACACCAGAACTACACACAATACTACATGTGAGGTCTCACAAGAGCAGAATAAAGGGTCAGGATCACCTCCTTCGACCTGCTGGTCACGCTCCTTTTGATGCAGCCCAGGATACGGTTGGCTTTCTGGGCTGCAAGCCCACACTGCCAGCTCATGTTCTTTTTCTCATCAACTAGCACCCCCAAGTCCTTCTCTGCAGGGCTGCTCTGAATCTCTTCTCTAGAAGAATAGAGGCATGAGTTATTTAGAATTGCCTTTGATTTCACAGACATTTTTAAACTATTCCTACTACTGCATAGAATGAGTGCATTAAACTCTGTCTGATCTCTTGGCAGCCTCAGTACTTGTCATCTACCTATAGCAAGAAAGGAAACACCACACCCCATGACTTGTCCTATACAGGTGAATCCCTCCAGCCTGCATAAAGCAAATCCTATCATTTTATCCCATTTTGTCAGCACTTTCTGTTCCTTAGGACAAGGCTGTGATGCCTGTTGCCAGCGGTGCTGATGTAGTCACAGCTCCAGCAGTATCTGTGGACACCTACACCTGGTGGAGATGGAACCATGGCATGGGCAGGGATTCTGGGTGAGCCAGACACAGGACAACACGCAGCCCAGATGTTGGCACATCTGCAATTCTGCATTCTGCAATTAAACCCTATAAAGGGGAGCCTTACAAACAATGCTTCTGCACTACCGGTTATTGCCTCATGCTTGGGGGTATAACTTTGTTACAAATCCCTTTGATGGCAAAATAGTTAAACTAATTCCAAAAGAAATATAAGATCTTTAAGTTTTAGATTAAAATAAAACTAAAGTTTCAGGCTGCAGAGATATAAACACCAAAAGCAAATGCCTTACATGTTAATAACTCTATTTACTTCATTTTAACAAACATTTCTTTACATAGAGGGGTTCTATTGTTCCAAATATGTGTTTATGGACGATGGTTTTAGATTAAACATCTACTACACATATGCACAGATCAAAGCTACGGTAAAAAAAAAATCGCCAAAGATTACTGCAGTTGGAAAGAAGGTTAACACATAAGCACAGTTACGTTAAATGAGTTAAACTTGTTTGCTGCTATGCAGCTATGTGTAAGTAATAATTTGGAAAAAAATCCCTGAAAACTCTAATACCAAATATCTCTGTAATGAAATCAACTACAGGGGGGTTGGAACTAGATGATCTTTAAGGTCCCTTCCAAACCAAACCAATCTAGGGTTCTGTGATCCTGAATATTTTCCCCATAAAAAGTGAGAATCCTGACATACAAAAAAATTAATGCAGTACAAAGAAAGAGAAAAATGTACCCTTTAAATGTAAGTAAGTGCAGAAACATATTTTAAGTACAATTGGTGAGCAAACTGTACTCCTAAAATTAATAAATATAGACAAACAGCTAAGGAATACTGAAAAGCACAGAGACAGATTTTCAATATGTTTGCCGGGTGATTAGGCATTTGTATACCCAAAATTCCCCTCAGCCACATTTCAATGTTATGGTGTACTTGTGATAATAATCTCACATACATGCAACCTTTCCAGCCTCGCCAGGAATTATGCACTGTAACTACAGTCATCCAAATCAACAATTCAGCTAAAGCTGTTTATTTAAACACGTTTAAATGCTCTCTTACACCTATAATTTTGCATCTGAAAGTTGACTTGCATAGAGTCAGGCTGAAAAATTGCTATTAATAATCATTTGTGCACATTGGGAAAAGCTTAGAATCATAGAATGGTTTGGGTTGGAAGTGAATTTTAAAGATCATGTAATCCAACCTCTGAGAAGAGCAAGATGACTTGGATTTCCATATCATGATTCTTAAAACAAAGATGAGGAGGGTGGGCAAACGAAGAGAAACACAGGATGAACAGGACATCAGCCAAAAAATGGTGACCACAGCTCAAAGATATAATCAGCATTATATAAGGAATACATATCATAACCACTGTCTGTGTGGCCTGGTTTATCACTTTACATCTAGTTCCATTTGCTACATTTTTACAGAGTTTGCTACTGCATATAAGTACAACCAAACATTAAAACTTCTATTATGAACGTTGCTAATGAAATATTTTCCAATAGCTCTCTTGATGTATGGTAATGTTGCAAATTCAGTAGGGAACACTGGAAAGCAGTCTGAACACCTACAGAAAATGAAACCCCACTTGTAGTACTGCATCCAGTTTGGGCACCCAAAACACAAAGGACATGGACCTGTTGAATCAAACCCAGAGGAGGCCATGAAGATGTTCAGGGAGGCAATTAGTAACATTTTTTGAGGATGCAGGGATTAGCAAAACAGGGGGCTTTGGTTTTGTTTTCTAAATATCAGACCAGCACCAAAACTAACCTGCTCCCATTCAATGATAAAAACATCCTGCGCAGTAAGAGTTCTAGAAATGTCTTTATAGTTGACACCTATCATAATACAGTTCCAAAGCAGAATTCAGCATCAGTGTTTTACTTTCTGCAATGAGATATTCCAGAAACCTGCTGGATAATTGCAGGCTTGTAATGCAGCTGCTGCAGGAACCTCCCCAGCCACTTGGCACTCTGCTAGCAATTTTCTGCAGTTGTTTTACATCAGAGTGTTTTTTAACTGCAGAGGCCTTGGCATTTTATCAATCCAGTCATACCTGATGTACTTGACTATATGTTTGGTTTTCCTTATAGATGAAGGCTCTAAAAAACCAACTAACAGCATCACAAGGCTCCCTAGCATTCCTATAGCAAATTGCCAGGCACTGGAAGCATGTAATCATTTTATTTATTTCTTGACACCGTGCCCTCTTATGTAACCCTCATGAAGTCCAACAAGGCCAAGCATAACATCCCACACCTGGGTCTGAGCAATCCCAAGCACAAAGAAAGGCTGGGCAGACACTGGACTGAGAGCAGCCCTGAGGAGAACTTTGGTGCTGGTTGATGAAAATCTCATCATGATATGGCTGTGTGTGACCTTGCAGCCCAGAAAGCCAACCATGTCCTGGGCTGCACCACCAGCAGCCTGGCCAGCAGGTGAGGGAGAGGATTCTCCCCCTCTGCTCCACTTTTGTGAGCATCCCACCCCCCACCCCCCAGCTCCAGTGCGGTGTTCAGCTCTGGGGCCCTCAACATAAGAAGGAGCTGTTGGAGCAAGTCCAGAGGAAGACACAGAGATGCCCCAAAGGCTGGAGCACCTCTTCTGTGGAGACAGCTGAGAGAGCTGGGCTTGTTCAGCCTGGAGAAGAGAAGGCTCTGGCAAGACCTTAGAGCAGCTTCCAGAGGGTCAAGAAGAACGCTGGAGAGGGGGTTTTTAAAAGGGTAGGTAGGGAGAGGACAAGGGGAAATGGCTTTAAAATGACAGAGGGGAGATTTAGATTAGATATTAGGGTGTTCTTCCCTGTGAGGGCGGTGAGGCCCCGGCACAGGGTGCCCAGAGAAGCTCCCTCTGTTACCTAATCCAAAGTTAACCCTCTGCTCCAGGGATCACTTCTGTAGACATGAAAAACAAGCCTACTAACAGGCTGACTTTAAAAATAAGCTCCTACATAGGGGCCTATATACATCCAAGGAAAATTTTTAGGGGTCTATACATCAAAAAAAAAAAGTTGAAATCTGCTGATTTATGATGTTAATGCTCAGAAGTAACTCTACCCTTCTCTTTCACTGGGAAGGAAAATATGGTTTATAGAAAACAGCCTAAAAATGTTTTCATATTCCCAGTTGATCTTCTCTAGAAATACCTGCTCCACCTGCTTCCTGTCTAACGGACAATTACTGAATGCATTTCACTCAAAGAGATTTTATTCTTGTCATGGACAACATACCTATCACCAGCAGAAACAGTCACTTTTCTGCAGGATGTGACATCTCTCTGTGAGCTCAGCTCTCACACAGAATAAAAATCCCAGCCAGAACTTGCAAGTTCATGACAACATACACTTTCAAAAACTTCTATTAAAACATATATTTTACTTTTTTACACTATACAAATTTCTACCTTGTTATTTGGTATTTCTCACAGAAAGCCTCATTTCTTTTATAAACAAAAGTATTACTAAGACATGTATTATTTTGAAACTATAGAAATATTTAAACAGTAATGTTTCATGCAGTAAAAAGGACCGAAACACCATAATGAGGCATTCCCAAACATCTTGAGAATTTAAATTAACAGATGACTTGCAAGATAGCTAAAGCAGAAGTGCCCTGTCCGCGCCATAGGAACCGTTACAGCACAACTGTGTTTGTCGACAGAAAATGAAGGAAAACGGCAATTACCCTAAAAGACATTTCAAGATTCTCGCCACCCCAGATATCCATTCCTGCATCGTAAGTTCCTATCTCTTCAAAGTAGTTTCTGTCAATAGAAAATAGGCCACCAGCCATAGTAGGGGTCCTAGTTGAAAACAAACAGAAAGAAAAAAGGGAAAAAGAAAAGAAAAGAAAAATACCTTTTGAAAGACACTGTGGAATTTATTAAGTGACACTACAGTACATTTCACTACCTCAGACATTTTCACTATAAATATATTCTATGCACAGCAACTTAAATATAAACTACTAACAATAATAGTATGGGTTTGACTGTACACTCCATGCGCTTGACTTTCAAGCAGAGCTCCCCCAAAGCTGATGAGAGCGCTGCCTGGGTGAGACCTGCAGGATTGCTTCCTACCCGCAAAATCACATTTCCATAGATAATTTCAGGAGCATTGTAATGGTAAAGTGGATGGAATTTTGGCCTTCTGCATCCAGAACAGCAGTTCAAATCCAATCTGAAATGCTTAGTGAAGAGAGTTTAATGCTTCAGGTTTGCCATAGAGAGTAACTAAATGTGCATAAAATTACCAGGCATAATCTCCCTTAACAGGATTATAAATCCTTACAACAGGCAAATCCAGTCAGAGTACAACTTGTCTTTGTGTAAAGATGTCCTCTTTCCCCATAAATACCTGCTCTATTTTTTTCAGCATTTGATGTCTACAGGACATGAAAACTGCTGACCCCAGTTCGCAGGAACATCACTCTGAGATGCTGTACCAATTCATAACTAACGTGTACCCAACAAAACACAGCTCAACGAACCTCATGGGATGCATGGTCCATATGCACTTTAACTCAGCTAAACGTGTTGCCCCAAGCACAGGCTTTTCAGCCCAAATGTGTCCCTGCAGCCATTGCCACAAGAGCTGTGCTACAGTCCTGTCCACCTGTCCACAGACGTCAAGGAGGGGTGTGAGGTGACAGCATCCACCACATGCAACAGATGGACTTTGGTGGAAGGAGTTTGAGAAGGTCTCAGCACCCCTACACCTACAGTCTTTGCTGGTGGGGACCTCAGGGCATGTTAGTTTAGATATGGATCAACAGTCACGTTTCTGTCCTCAACTTCAAACCCAGCTGCAAAAACAACTGCATAAAACATCATCAGGTTCAACAAGTTCAAATGCAAGGTCCTACAAATGGGTATGGGCAACCCCAAGCACAAACTAGGTGGGGTCTGGATTGAGAGTAGCCCTGAGGAGAAAGACTTGGGTGTTGATCAATGAGAAGCTCATCATGATCTAGCTGTGTGTAACCTTGCAGCCCAGAAAGCCAACCACGTCCTGGGCTGCACCACCAGCAGCATGGCCAGCAGGTCGAGAGAGGTGATTCTCCCCCTCTGATCCACTCTTTGTGAGACCACACCTCCAATTCTGGGTCTAGCTCTGGGGCCCCCAACATAAGAAGGACATGGGCCTGTTGGAGCAAGTCCAGAGGAGGCCACAGAGATGCCCCAAAGGCTGCAGCACCTATCCTATGGAGACAGGCTGAGAGAGCTGGGCTTGTTCAGCTTGGAGAAGAGAAGGCTCTAGGGAGACCTTAGAGCAGCTTCCAGTGCATAAAGCGGTCAAGAAGAGAGCTGTAGAGGGGCTTTTTACAAGGGTAGGTAGGGAAAGGACAAGGGGAAATGGCTTTAAACTGACAGAGGGGAGATTTAGATAGTAGGAAGAAGTTCCTCCCTGTGAGGGTGGTGAGGCCCTGGCACAGGTTGCTCAGAGAAGCTGTGGCTGCCGCATCCCTGGCAGTGCTCAAGGCCAGGTTGGACGGAGCGTTGAGCAGCCTGGTCTAGTGTCTAGGAAGATGTCCCTGCCTTTGGCAGGGGGCTGGAACTGGGTGATCGTTAAGGTCCCTTCCAACACAAACCATTTTGTGATTTTATGAAAGTGGGCAAGACTGAATTTTGAGTATGCATAATATAATGCTAGCTCAACGCATACAACTGCACATCAACATACAGTAACTACTGTCTGTATCTCAAAGATTCAGTCACAAAAATCAACTCATTCATTCAGATATTTAATAAACTGCTTGCAAACACTGCTAGGAATATCTGCTGTTCCGTGGTCAGATTAGGCACCTGAATCTGTGCAAGGCAGCATCTCCAGCATCAGTACTTCTGCCCGTCTAAAGCTCAGCTTCTGCAGGAGCTCCTGCATTTGGAGACAGCCTCATACAAACAGTGTTATAAAATAAAGTGCTACAATTTTTCCAGAAAGCAAGTAAACAGGAACAAAACTTTTCACGTGCAGTGCAGGAAAAAGCTAAAAGAGAGTCTCCATGTGCATTCCCATCCATAGCAGAACCTGAATCACTTGGGCAGTTCCCAGATCTTCCTTTGGTAGATTTTGTATGTCCTATATGCAAGAGGAATTAGGTCAAGTACTCCCCTATTTGCACACACAACCACAGAGTTCAAGTCTTGGGTTAGTGTGGGTGTTGTAAGGTCTCCAAGACCCTAGTCACAGAGAGCAGTCATTCAGGGATGGTTGGGGATGGTGCTGTGCTGCACAAAGTTTTTCCCAACGTGGTAGTAATTAGTGCTCACTTACTCTTGAACACAGCAAATCCAGGTAATTTGCCAGCTGTGAAATTATTTCCTCTTCTGCAAGAGCTATCATTGCTCCCAGAAAAAAAAAAAAACAACATGACTTAGCAATGAAATAATACAGGACCCTGAGTTTGCTAACACTTCATTTCTATTTTTCTCCCTGTGCTCTCAGCACTGGAAATGCTCTGTTAATTAACTGTCTGTTATTTGGACAGGGCTAAACCTTCCCAGGTTTCAAAGCCACTTTACTGCCCTCAGCCTTGCTGGGTTTCTGCCACAAGTAATACGGATGTCCCCAAAGCTACGCTGAGAACATGCAACCAAACTGAGCAGATGGGAATGGCCAGGTGGTGTGACTCTCTACCTGATTGGGATCATGACGGTTAAATACCACCTTGTACAGGAAACATAAAAGAGAGCTGACTCTTTAAATCTTTTTTAATTGAAATGGTTTTGTGCCAGATGGGTATCAATGCAAAAATATTACATCTAAAATAAATTTCTCTTATTGATTACCCAGAAACTCTATAGGCCTATGCAAAACTATTCACACTGATACCAAAAGCTGTGGCAGTACATGGTTTACTCACTCCCTCAGAACTGGCCAAGTCCCCTTAGGACTCTCAGCAATTCACAAACATTCTGAGTGAGCCTGTGCCCAGCGCTGCACGCACTTACCTCACCTCCTGCCTGCACTGATTTCCTGTCCCCACTAACCTTACTGAAATGAGGAGTGTCACTGGTTTCAAATTAACAAAATCATCCCCACTTCTCTGCCTGCAATAGAAACCTCACCCAAGACTGGATTACGAGCATCATGACCAGCAGGTCAAGGAAGGGATTCTCCCCCTCTGCTCTGCTCTGGTGAGACCACAACTGCATTGACATGTCCAGCTCTTGTGCCCCCAGCATAAGAAGGATGTGGAGCTGCTGGAGCACTTCTATGGAGACAGGCTGAGAGAGCTGGGCTTGTTCAGCCTGAAGGAGGTGGCTCTGGGGAGACCATAGAGCAGCTTCCAGTGCATAAAGTGGTCAAGAAGCAAGCTGCAGGGGCACTTTTTACAAGGGTAAGTAAGGACAGGACAAGAGGGAATGGCTTTAAACTGACAGAGGGGAGATTTGGATTAGGTAATTAGGAAGAAGTTCGCCCCTGTGAGGGTGGTGAGGCCCTGGCACAGGGTGCCCAGAGAAGCTGTGGCTGCCGCATCCCTGGCAGTGTTCAAGGCCAGGTTGGATGGGGCTTTGAGCAACTTGGTCTAGTGGAAGGTGTCCCTGCCTGTGGCAGGGGGTTGGAACTGGATGAGCTTTAACGTTGCTTCCAACCCAAACTATTCTGTGACTCCATGATGATTCTATGATACTCTGCCTCCTCTCCTTCCTCATCCTTTCATTTCTTCCCCTGAAGGAAAACAGTCTGTGCTTGAATGATACAAAATTTTCCGTTTCACAAAGATTCAGGCATAATCAATTTTTGAAGGATGCAACTGAATTTTACACACAGATCTGGATTCCTCCGAAATGTCATCAGCAACTGTTCATGAAAACCAGTGTTTCCCTAATAACTCACTAACTGAAATTGGAAGTGCTGTGTTTAATGCTGTAAAACATAAGTAACTATGCACTAATGTAGGCTGCAGATTCTCAGACAACTGAAATGCAGCAGGCAGGACTTTTCTCTGTTGTGTAAATTTTATGTTGCACAAACAGATCTGCACTGTGAAAACAGCTGAAATAGTAGTATTAGAGTAATGGTTCCTACAGGTTTTTTCTCAGCTTTGTGCCTCCTACCTATATTTTGCCTATGTGAAGTTATAATAACAACTCCAGTAATGTGTTACGATTAACTCTAATCAACATTCAAACCGACTTTCAATTTTAGTTTGGAGATAACGTCTGTTTCTCATTTCTACAATTATTAGCAGCAGGCAGGATTCCTGGTCATGTACCTGCATCTTTGACTATTCTAAGAGGGGCTGCAGAACATGAAGCATGGCAGTAATCCCGGGTCTGCTGCATCCCTCCAATCCCCCAAATGCAGTCCAGCATGCTGGGCTGGGCAGGAAAAACAAGAAGGGGCTGGTGTGGAGCAGCTCCAAGGGGATGCTCAGGCCAGGTCCCCCCAGCCTGTGAGCTTCCTAAGGCTCTGTACCACCACCTCATCCTGCATCCTCCAAGCTCCCCATCCTGGCACCTGCTCAACAGGGTCCAGCAGTCGTAACAGCAACACCACTAATGCTATCTACATACCTTAGAATAGGAATTTTACACTGGTTTCAAATACTGCTGTACATCATCCACACAGTATTAAGTGTAATCAACTCTAAGTTTAATCAGCTGTAATAATAAGAGAATAAATACAGTATGCTCTGAATATTTTATCTTGTATTTTTCCTCTCAGTAAATAATTTATACTTGTGAAAATATTTTCCAGAAAAAAAGAATATATATATTTTTTTTTTTAGTATTTATAATACTAGCCTGGAGTGTCTTCAGCTTAAAAAAACTAAGGACAAGAATGGAAATATCCAGAGGAATGTGCTGTGCAGAGACTGTAAATGCCCAGCACAGAAATACTTTATGATTTTAATACTGTAGATGTAAGAAGACAAGATGTTTGTAAACTAATCTTACAGTGCAGGCAAGTTATCTGTTGCCACAGGCAAAACCATAGGAGGAGAAATGAGTTCACTTAAAGCCGAAGGATGTTCTGCAAAGTACAAATGCTGTACAAGTGGAAAAAAAAGAAGTATTAAAGGTTTCGCAAGACCGCTGGCTTTAGCTGGCATTACCCATGAACACTGACCACTGAACCAGGCCCCACCTGAGAAGGAACTGCATTGCCCAGAGCTACCTGTTTCTGTTAATTCCCAGATCCACCTGTATCAACTATCCACAGGAAGCTTTAGCTTTAAGCTGCACCTCTGCAACAGGGCAAAAATCCAGGTTTTGCTCCCAGAGAGCCCTTTGGTAACAGAAACAGGCTTTGCACTTAAAAATAACACATTTTCACAAGGTCTCATTGTTTATAAAGTTTACAAAGACAGAGGTGACTCCAGTGACAGTGGAAGTCACAGCAGTTACTCTGTACGGAAGCGATAAAATCCCAAGGTGCATCCGAACATCAATGAATGGTCTTGACTACTGAAACAAAAGAAAATACAACTATAACCATGGACACGAGTCCTTGGGGCTTACTGTACCCTCAGAGTAGGAAATTTTCCCCTACAGCAACACCTGGAAGCCCCTACAATCCCCATGGCTCTCAAAGCCACAGTTCCTCTCTGATTTTGCAAATACACCTGAAAAAAAAACCAAACACTTCCACTGATTCTAACAAACCTCAAAGAATGAAGCGTTTGTCTTGAACACCTCTGTCTTCAGGAACAACCTTTTCTTCAGGGTTTTCTTCTAAATGTCCCCTCCCTGTTGTCAATTTACAGTGTCAGTCCTAGCGAAGACACCTCATGCACTGAAAGCTCTTACTTCTGCTTCTGATCATGTACATGTAAAAAAATTGTAAGTACCCTTTTAAAAGCCCCCAAGAAATGCCACAGACTTCTACTATCTCCTGCCCCAAGATGTGGAGCATTGAGAGGGGGTCAGGGAGGAGATAGCATGACCCAGCACCCAGAAGAGCTCCCACCATGAGAACTGCTCACCCTTCTCTACTGCCTTTAAACAGGGAGTGCCTGTAACCCAGAAATGCTTTCACTGCCTTCACAAAACCTCAGTTAATAGTCACCATTTTAAAATATTCTGGGAAAGGTTATGCTACCGGGGTGTTAGCTGACCTGAAAGAAAGCCAGATAAGAGGACTAGAAAAAAAGAACCAAGAGAAGGGATTTTAAGAGTAGGGTTTAAGAAACAGAAGAGGGAAAGGAGCAAAAGTCACAAGGACAAGTGTGTGAAGAGCAGGAACAGCACATATGTATGGATCTCGGATAAGAACCCAGTCTGGCTGGGGCAAGGCATCACTCATTAGTGTGCAAGCACCCACAAGTCCCTGCCATTCTGTTTGCTAAAAATATGACAATTTAACTTTTCTAACGGAAGTCAAGAAGAAAGCTCCTTCACAGCTGTACTGCATGACAATTAGTTGTGGGGTTTTCATATCAGAGTCACTGAATTAATTAACCTTTTCCCACTAAATCTAGAGATTCCAAGAAAGGCAGATTATTTGAGTCAAATAACTCAGGAATTTAGCAGTTCCTGTTCCCTGGGTAAACATGCAAGCAACGTTTCATGTCTACGAACTAGAAAGAATCAGGCACCCTATTCCCAGACTACAGTCCCTTTGACCTTCAACTTCACTGGGGTTACTGGTCACAGCTATGTGCTAACTGGACTCTGCTTACTAACTAGCAAGCTCTTACCAGTTATATATCCTGACCTTTTCGACCAAAATGCTTATACCATAACACAATTACATACATAAATAATAAACTGTATATAAAATAATTCATAGTTTGAAAATGTATGCATTATGATTTAAAATCTAAAAAGCAAAGGTAGGAACTTATCAGTGTTGTTATGGAAGAGAAATATTTTGAGTAAAGCTTTTGTCAGTTACGTGGATTTTTAATACAACAAAAAGCAGAATTTAGAAGGCTTTTAGAAAAAAAAATATTAGAAATTTTAGAAAAAAGAATTTGAGGGCAGCTGTTATACTGCATGCACACAAACAGTTAACCCACTGATGGCTGCATTCCATGCCTATTCCATTGATGATTACAAAGAAAAAATATGAATAAAGACACATTCATCCCATATGAGACTGAAGGAATGTTTAAGAATGGGGAAAGCAACATGGAATTAAAAAATGAACTTGCCAATTTGTTTCTAAATTTTTGGTATGGGTTAGGCTTTTTTTTATTTTTATTCCCCCATTTTTTTGAATGTTCAGGTGGCAACAGCTGCCAAAACCATTCTCAACTTAGCTGAAATACACTTGCAGAATTTGTGACACCTCAGGACTGATGTAGTGCAGCAGACTCTTGGACTGCGCTTGATAAGCATTTGGAAATACCAGCTGGTGCTGAACACAGCTTATGACTTATTAAATGTTGTTTCCTACAGGAAGGCTGTTATCCCCAAGCAGCTCCACAGATCACTTGCTTTGCTGATTCTCTTCCCATTGGGTAAAAGGGAAAATGAAACAGGGAGCACTTTCTTCTGACACTGAAGAGGCTGAAATGCCTTTACCATGTGGTCAGAGAGAGCATCTCTATGTCTAAGAGCTGACACTTTGGTCTGAAGCTAGCACAATTGCACACCACAGCTCAGCTATTCACTCTAAAACACTTGTCTAAGAGATATTTCTGGGACATGCAGCACTTGGCATTAACCTCTGTCTTCTTCACCCATACCCTGCTCACTAACACCCATCTCACCAGGAGAATCCCCAGAAGCCCAGGTGATTACCATCTGAAAGCTGATGGAGGGACAAAAAAAAAATTGAGGGGGAAAAAATATGCTGTTTTTTGTTTTCATAGTTTTAGGAGTCAGTCACGCACCTGATTCTGGATTAACTTTAAGTACTACTCCATTTCAAGATAGGAGAATTGCATTTCTTTGAGAACTCCCTATGTCTGTGAATTTTTTTCACAGGAGAGACAGGATAAACAGAGCCCAGGGAGTGGCACAGCAGGAGCACTGCATGAGGCTCTGCAGCTCGTTAGGGTAATTAACTCTACCAATTTTAACACACACCTGAGTGCTAATGAAATAGCTGCTGGCAGACTTCACAGCTGAGTGGTAACATTCTAGATCATGAGAAAAACAGTTCTCTCAACTCAAAAATAGCTTCATCACCCCTCTGCTAACAACAGGGTCTGCTCCTTGGGACCCTGCTCATGTTTCCCAAGATCACTGCCTAAAAATAAAATCTAAAAAATTTGGTCCTTTCCACAGACTTTTTAAAAGGGCCTGTAGGAACAGGACAGGGGGAATAGCTTTAAACTGACTGATGGTGGATTCAGATTAGATATTAGGAAAAAATTCTTCCCTGTGAGAGTGGTGAGGCCCTGGCACAGGTTGCCCAGAGAAGCTGTGGCTGCCCCTTCCCTCGCAGTGTTCAAGGCCAGGTTGGATGGGGCTTGGAAAAACCTGGTCTAGTGGAAGGTGTCCCTGCCTGTGGCAGGGGGGTTGGAACTAAGTGATCTTTCAGATCCCTTCTAACCGAAACCGTTCTGTGATTCCATGATTCTGTCACTCCACACTTTGAAGGACAAGCAATGAAAGATTTTGCCCATTTTCTGGCATAAGCAATTCTGAAAGGGTTTTCTTGACCAACCCACTGCCTTACCTGGAAGTGTGTCACAAACCTGCGCTGTGACTGTTGCTCCCTGAGATCCCCCTTTTATCTGCCTGCTGTGTACAACTGGGGGGTATGCAGGACTGGAATTCTGTTCACTTCATCATGTCTCTCACTCAGAAACCATTACATACATTTTATTAAAAAAAACAAACAAACTTTTCATGAAGACCACAGAAGCTATTAGAGCTCAGCAAATAACCCACTGCAAGTAATTTATTCAATTTGTTCTGTTTCAGCTTCATTTAAAGTTTTTATAGAGGTTTTGTTACAGTCTGTGGTTTAAGCAATTAAATGAAAGAGGTCAGGAATGATCACGGGAATTCAGGACATACTCTTAGATCACTTTTGACTCAGTGTGCACAGTCATCAATTTTCTTTTCTAGGCAATAAAAGCATAGGTTTTAAGTGCAAATCATCATAACCGAATACTTGGATTTAGTGTTCAACAATTTAAATTTCAGAAATATGTTCTGGTATTTGCCTTAAATTATGAAAAGACAGTAACATCTGTAAACACAAGGTCAGCAGGCTATTTGCAGAAAACAGGGAAGGAACTTAAAAATCAGGTAATATTTTCAATTACTGTATGGTGAAAAAAAGACATAAAGGACTTTTCTCAGCTCTGATACCTACATTGCAGCATTAAGCACAGGTCAGATTTTGGTCTTCACTACCTGAACAGTGTGCCGTTCTCTGACACATGTTCTCTGATACTGCACCAAAACCTGAGATATATAGCATTATCATCTACATAAACAATTACACAATACAGTTAAGTAGCTTAGTTCTCTTGATTCACTAACCTCACAGGCAAGGTCCTGTCTCCTTTCCTCCTGTCCATCTCCCTCTGTGGAACTGGGTACCAGCGAAAGTTCAGTTTCCAGTTAAACCCTCCGTAAGTCATATCAGATCCAGCCATGTATTCAAAAGTGTCATCACTGATCACATCGATGATTGGGCAGACAACAGTTTTCCTGTAAGGAAAAAATTGTGCTTTCTTAAACAAAACAGGTTTTCATGGTAGTAAGAAAGAGTAAAAAATTCAGAGTATTGACTGTCACACAGACAAAAAGTTATGCCTGGTAAAAAGAATGGAGAAAGGTGGCCATCAGGATGGCGGACATGCAGACCTTGTGAAAGTAAATGGCGCAGGTTGCTGTCATTACTGGTATTATTATTCTTACTGTCAGCAACATAAATCCTGCTGTAAGAATCAAAAGTTTTCCACCTATCTATTTAGAAATTAGATTTTGACACAAATATTAGAAAACCCTCTACCTTCCATATAAATTAAAAAAGGATTAAAAAATTAATCTTTATTTTCAGATCAAAGATTTGTTTCATTTCTATTTTTTAGCAGAACAGAGGAACCAAGGACTGGCCTGGAGGCAGGAGGCAGATCCCTGCACCTGGAGGGGGAGAGCTGCCCTTACCTGTCTTCCTTTATCCTGGCCAGCAGTGGCTCGAGCCAGCCCAGGGTGCACTCACAATGTGCGTCCAGGAATGTTATCACCTGCCCTTTAGAGGCTGCCGCCCCACGGAGCCGTGCACGGATCAGTCCTGACCTCTGCTCCATCCGAATGATTTTTATGGAGACTTCCAGATTTTTCACGTAATTCTCTAACGAGGCTTTCAGAAACTCTGCCAGAGATAAGTGGAAAAAAAAACCACCAAAACCCAAAAATAAAACAAAAACCCCCACCAAAAACAAAGAAAGAAACAAACAAACAAACAAAAAGAACCAGAAAAAAAAGTATTATTTTTAGTAAGGTTCAGCAAGCACCAAGGACTCAAAATATAACTGCTGAGTTTATGCGTCATGCTCGGCCCTCCAAGGACAGGCATGCACAAACACTGCCCTTACACAGGAAATGCGTTTTGACATATTTAGAGTTGTTCTGAAGTCACAGCTGAGCTATGGGGGTTTGCACCAACACTCTATTCCAGGCAGCCACATGGAAAACAGCCCACGCTCACAGACACATCTGCCCAAGCATCTCTGCCCAAGCATCACAGAAATTTTAAAGAGTTGTGATCAGTTTCCTTGAAATAAACCAACAGTCAACAGGGAGTGCAAAATGTTCACATTGATTTGTCTACGGTTAATACAAACATGTCTATTTTTGATGAATTTCACCATTTCAGTCCTTTAGGAATCCAATACTTTGCTTTTAGGGAAAAACTGTAGTTACCTGGGCTCAAGTCCTCCTCCACCTTCTTGCCCAGAGAAAAATTAAGCTGACTTTTTTCCTGAAGCAGGGAAATCCAGGACAGTAATTACAGTTAAGTTAATGCTACAGAAATAAAGGCTGGCTTAGCTTGAACCTTCTGTCCCTTGATCCATTGCACCTACATGTTGCATTTGTCATGATATTAATTTGGCTACTCCAGGAAAATTTATCATTCCACTGATTCCATTTACAGAATGCAATGTGATTCCTTTCCCAGGTAATAGCAATGTCACATGTAGACAGTTTTCTTTCTAAACCCTGGGTTTAAAATCCAATCGTAGATGCTTGGTGAGAGGCACAGGTCCACTTCAACATGACAAAAGGAAGTCAGACTTCACCACCCTTTCCACAGGTGAAGCCTGCAGTGGCACTGAAATAACACAAGCAACAGGACTCTTCTCATCCTGAGCCTACCTCTCTCGCTGGCATCATCCACAAGGATGATTTCAGAAAGCAGGTGGTGCGGTGACCGATTTATCACACTGTACACAGTCCGAAGCAGAGTGCTCCAGGCTTCATTGTGAAACACAATAACCACACTTGTGTTGGGAAGTTCATCAGGATAGACTTTAGTCTTGCACCTGCAAAAAAAAAAAAACCACACAATCCAAACAGAAGAAAAAGAAGGTTAATCTTTAAGAAAATCCCTGAAGAACTCTACCAACAGGACAGCCTAGGAAAGGGGCTCCAAACCTGTAAGTGGGATATATTTCAAACCAGTTACTGATCTCTGCAAGCTCCCAGTCTGCAGCCCGAAGGCAGAGGGGATTTGAAATTCTGCTTTCTTACTAAGAAAACATAGCAGAGCACCCAGAGGAAGGTCGCACTGCTGCATTCCCAGCTGCCTCGGCCTCACAGTCTCCTTGCTCCCACTTGGTATGCCAAATCAGCTTCCAGAAGCCTTTGGATCAATGCATCCTCACATCACAAACAGAAAACTCAGGACAAGGGGGCAATTAATATTACACGTAATTAGCAGTTAAAGTGAGGTTAAATAAGTCTTTTCTTGTGAGAAACCCCAAATTCTATGGTTTGAAGTACACAGGCCTGAGACTTCCCCATTTTCTGTGGTTTTTTAAACAGAGAAAAAAATTACTATTTTCTACAGTATTCTATATGCCTGTTGAATGGAAGATTGAGAGGTCTAGAATCTCATTTGGAAAATTGAGAAATTATGGCAAAGTGAGTAACAGATATCAAACACTGCTGATTTTGTGCAAGCAAATTAAAGCTATTTGCATATTACAAGAGACAACCTAAAAATCTGCACGTTTCTTCCATGCCTTGGACACATTTCAGAACCAAAGCCTAAATCAACTTGCTGAGACAGGTCAAGTCATGGCACTTAAATACACCTAATAGCGATTCTTAACTGTTGTGACTTGAAATAATTTGCACTTTTATATATATATATTTTGCTGTAGTGTGATTTTCTGGCTGTACCTTTCCCACTGTGGTCTGGGTTCAGGAAAGGACAGGTGAGCATGGACGTACTTTCTTCAGCAGCAGCACACATACCAGTAAATTAAACTGCATGTAAATGGAGAAGAAATTATGTATGGCTTTTTAGCGCATCTTCTTTGTAACACCACAAATTGGAAGCCTCCCTAAAACCTCTGAATAGGTGAGTTATTCATTACCATCGAATACCGTGTTTAGTTTTGGTCCCTGTTGTACAAAACACAGACACACACCAGTCTTGACATCGTTTTGATAATGACCACTGAAGTTTGTTTTAGAAGTCATCCCACCTTCCCAATTTCTGCAATCTAATTAATGATACAACTATCCATCAATCACAATTTAGATTTAGAGTTCAGACAAACAAATAAAAATCCTTTACTAATTATCAGCATTGACAATACCCTCTCTTTGGATTCAGAAGCGTCCAAAGGAGTGTGAGCCCAGCAGGACAAGATGTCCAAAAAAAGGACATTCTGAATGTACTTGTTTCCAAGGCACAGTAAAGAGTCTCCTTGCCTCAGAAGTTGTCTCATGTCAGCCCTGGAATCTGAAAGTCAGATATCAAAGACTAAAACCAGAAAGGGTGTAGTGCAAAGCTCAGCACTTCTTATGTTCAGAGTTGTTTTCCAGAGCTTAACATCATACTTCAAACTATACACCAAACTGGAATAAACTCTGCCAGTCCTATATTTCACAACAGTCATTTTAATTACATTTAAAACAGATACAGTCTTGGAAATTGGAAAATAACTACTACATATCATAAAGTTTAAAAATATTCTGAAAAGCATGTCAGTAGTAAAATGAGACAAGAAGGAAGAGATATTTTCTTGTCTGTACTATAACACTAATTTTGCAGAGCAAACAGATATTAAGGACAAGAATGTTTATAATCACATCATATTTGCCAGGACCTTCGGGACTTTAATTATCATTCTTATTATTTTTCAATATATCTTACAGTACCCAGAGAAGGGCTAGATGAGCTGAGAACACCCAGGAAGAAGACATGCTGCATGTCCTATGTTTTACAGCAGACAAACTAAATTATCATAAACGTGGACATAAAAATCCATGATCAGCATCCTTGAGTGCATGAAACAGCATAACCAGCTGGCCAAAAGAGGCGATGATCTGGTTGTACTCATCATTGGTGCAGCCTCACTAAGATCACTGTGTGCAGTGGTGGGCCCCACTGTGTAAGCATACGAAGGTCCCTGACTGCATCTAAAGGAGGACAACAAAGCTGGTGACAAGGCTGGAAGACATATTCTCTGAGGATTTGTGATTGTCTAGTTCAGAGGAAAGGTGACTGAAGGACAACTTCATTGCTCTCTGCAGCTTCTTGAGGGGTAAACTTGGAGAAGGAGATGTCAGTCTGTTGTCTCTGGGACCTAGGGACAGGATGCCTGGGAAGGCTCAAAGCTGTGCCAGGGGAGGTTCAGACTGGACATGATGAGTTATACAGAAGATTAGATATAAAGAAGTTCTTCACTGTGAGAGTGGTGAGGTACTGGCACAGGTTGTCCAGAGAAGCTGTGAGTGCCCCATTCCTGGAAGCGTTCAAGGCCAGGTTGCACGGGACTTTGAGTTGGAAAGTAGATGAGCTTTAACGTCCCTTTCAACACAAACCATTCCAAGATTCTATGGTTCTATGAGGAGGTTTGTGTTCACCAAGAGGGTGGCCAAACCATGGAACAGGCTTCCTGGAGAGGTGGTCAATGCCCCAAGGCTGGCAGTGTTCAAGAAGCATCTGGACAATGCCCTTAACAACATGCTTTAGCTTGGTCAGTCCCAAAGTGGTCAGGCAGTTGAACTAGGTTATAGTTGTAGGTACCTTTCAACTGACACAGCCTACTCCATTCTATTAAAGACCAAATTTTTAAAAAGCAACTGCTCAGGAGTCAGCAAACTGTGCACAGACAAGAGCTTGTTAACCGACAAGTGTGTGTGTAACACAGCTGACTCCTTACCTTGCTGACACAAGTGTTACACACTAGATGCCAGAAAGCTGCCAATTCATTTCCCACCAATACAGAAAGTGCTCCATTTACACACTTAAGCATGTGCTGTTGTCCTGGGTCCTATTTCAGCATTTCCGAACAAACAGCAACAGCACTGCTCAATGGGAAACTTTCCATGTCCAGTTTAGCTACTAAAGACAATGAAAATGAAGTAAGGAGGCAAGCAGGAGATAGAGACTGAAATACTGACTGGTGTGAGGCTGAGACTGCTCTGGATTGTAAGGTTATGCTTTTACCGACATTCCTTTGTTTTCTGGTGGAAGCAAGACATTAATTAGTTTTTACTAAGCTCACTCAAAGCAATTTTCATGAGTATTTGATTAACTTTAAAAGTTAAACAACAAAGATTGGTAATAATACAACCATATGGTGGGTGTATAATCACCGTTCATGCTCTTCAAGTAATTCCCACTGCCATTTACAAGATGTGCAATGGAAAACAATCACAACCCAGCCAAACGTGACTAATTTGTACCCTGCTCCCCACTTCGCTCCTGGCTGCATGTGGCCACGCTCCAAACCCAGTGCTCATTACAACTCTTTGAAGAACCACCTCAGTAAGAAGCCCCAGTGCCACCTCTTGGCCGGTTTTTCTGCATAGTGAGGAATGAATGCAGCACACAGATGGCCAGGGAGGTGCTGGAGACAGCACAAGATTGGCATGAGAAGGGCATGGTTGGGAGACACCCAGTATACCAAAACCTCCCTGTTCCAGACCCAACAGGCTGTTTGCCAATGGCTGCTCCCTTTCCTTCCCTCAACAAGTGCAGCAACAAGTATACAGCTTTCTGCTGCAGGTTAACTCTTTCATCTCCACTATGTCCAAGAGTACCGACTCAGGGACCACCTTCTGAGCTCAGTATCAATGGAGCACATCCTGTGAGACGGGCATCCCATGTCTCGGAGATCTGGGCTCTGTAGTGCCCTACCACAGGGAAGGGGGAAGGACACGCCTATTCCCATTCTGTCCTTGCAGCACATCTTTAATAGCATTTCAGTCCCAAACCTAACATTCTGCTCACTTCCGAGTATTTCTAAGTGCACAAAAAATAAAAACCTTTCATGTCCCTCTACTGAAATTATGACAGTGATTCATGTTGCGTTTTTTACTAATTCAAAAATACACCATGCACTGAAGAAGCAATAGATAAGTCATCTGCTAATCACATGCTATCAAACACAAGGACTCCCTCTCCACCACCCCTGCACTATTTACAATGCATACTGATTGTTCAACATACACTGGAAATACTTCCCCAGAAAAACTGGGTTCGCTCATACAGTCATCAGATGTTACTTTATGAATACACATGAAGTAAATACAGCTGCTTAAATGTGGGAAAAACGCATCTTCCAAGATCAGTAACATGGAAACAGACTGATAGTCTCCCTATTTACCACCCTTTCCACTGGCTGGTGTACACATTATGTGAGCGTGAAGGATTGCACTGTGATTTTATCCCTTCCAGAACTGTGTAGAAGCTCCCATGGAAGCAATTCAAGCCAAAATATCATGCATGAAAGCAAAATATTTGGAGGGAAAAAACAAGACTATAACTACTATACAGAATAATTTAGGTTGGAAAATACCTTTAAGATCATGAAGTCCAACAGTTAACCGAGCACTGACAAGCCCGCCACTAAACCGTATCTCTAAGCGCTATGCCTACATGTCTCTTAAGAACCCCCAGGGATGGTGACTCCACCACTTTTCTGGGCACGCTGTTCCAGTGCTGGACAACCCTTTCAGTGAAGCCATTTTTTCTAATACCCAATAAAACCTTTCAGGTTGTTGGAGAGAATGATTAGGTCTCCCCTGTAAATATATAGTTTCTGATGCAGTATTTTTATATGATAGATTTGGGAGCATATGGAACTGTGTTAAACAGTTGTAGTTTATATGACTTGAGGGATTCTCATGATTATTTAGTCATTACCTTTTCTTGCTTTGCTTTAGTGAAAATACAAAAGATCAACACCCATAAAGAAAAGACTGGTAACACAGATCATTGGTATGATTCCTCTACCTGACCAGATTTACTGTACACTTTAGTGCAAAGAGGGCACTGGAAACCACCCTGGGTGGGACCAGT